TAGCGTCCACTATCTAGTGAGAAAACCTCTGCTTAGATACTGCTCATCTCTTAGTACAGCCACCGAAGCACACAAAGAGCTGGTCAGATTGTCAAAAGACGGCTGAGCGGTCGATATAAATCCTTAGCCCTGACTGGGAAAACGGCGCTCTGAGCCTCGGCGTCACACAAGGTCGACCACTCGGAAGATGAAGCTCCTAAGCGCTTAACCGAGGCAAGGGCGAGAAGCAGAGCAGTTTTGAGGGAGAGCTCCCTCATAGCGACAGATTCCAAGGGCTTGAAGGGGGGTAGAGAGAGAGCTTTCAGAACCAGCACTAGGTCCCACGGCAGCACCAAAGGTGGGCGTGGAGGACGTAATTTCACTCCCCTGAGAAATATGACCACCAGCATGTGCTTCCCGATCAATTACCCATCAACCGGGGAACAAAATGAAACAATAGTGCCCACATAAACCTTTAGCATTGATGGTAGACTCCTGTTATCCCGCCTATGCTGCAGAAAATGTAGGACAACAACTCGCCAGGTCGATATCTCTATCACAGCACCATTTCACGAACACTCCCCATTTAACCTAGTAACACCTAGTAGAAGAGCACGAGACTCAGTGAGTGTGTCGAGCACTCAAGGAGGCAGGGCGCTTAGCCACTCTAAGACCCCTGAAGTAGCCAAACATTAAGGCTCCAGAGCTCCGGGCTGGGACAGCGAAAAGAACAGTGGGCAGTGAGTGTTCTCACTCATTTTAAACAGATCCACCTTTGCCCTCCCGAAGTGGTCCAAAATAATCCGAACTGAACTGGAATGCAGTCTCCACTCCCCATTAGGGATTCTGTTCCTTAAAAGCAGGTCCACTCCACGGTTTAGGAGACTGGGGATATGCGCTGCTCTGATGGAGAGTAGATGATGATCTACTCTCATAATAGAAGCCCATAATAGAAGACTCACAGCCTGCTTGAAAAGGGCTCTGGAGTGCACGCCACCTTGGCGATTTATGTATGAAACCACAGACACATTGTTGGAGTGAATCAGCGCATGTCGCTGTTCAGCTGTGGCAGAAAAGCCACTAGAGCTAAGGACACCGCATCCAGTTCCAAGCGGTTAATGTGCCACCTGCTCTGAGACTCTGACCACAGGCCTGAAGCCGGTACACCCTTGTACACCGCTCCCCAGTCCGAGGTCGACACATCTGTCATGACCACAGTGCGTGCTGTCACTAATCCCAGGGGAACCCCACTGCTGAACATTTCTGAGTCGTGCCACGGCCTCAGCGCACAGCTGTGTGTGACCTCGATGCACATACTCCCCCGTGGTCCATGCTCTCCACAGAACTCAAGAGTTCAGCCACAACTGTAGCAGCCGCATATGCAGAAGACCCAGGTGGCAAACTGATGAAGCCGACGCCATAAGTCCCAGAAGCCTCTGAAATTTCCTCAAGGGAACAGACTGGTCCGGTCTGAAGCGGCACAGAGCTGATGAAATGGTCGTTATGCTCTCTTGAGAGAGGCGGGCTCGCATCTCCACCGTTGTCGAAACACACAACCAGATATGTTATAGACTGACTCGGGGTGAACATGCTCTTCTGCATATTCCAACCCTAGGGACTCCAGACGTCGAAGCAGTGTGTCCGTATGACTGACAAGCACATCTCCTAAATGGGCTAAAATCAGCCAATCGTCCAGATAGTTTAGAATGCGCATACCACTCCGAGAGGGAAAACGCCGCATTTATGCACTTCAAGAATGTGTGCTGGGCTAAAGCCAGCCCGAACGGGAGCACTGAGTATGCTGGTATGCTGTGTCCTCGAAAGCAAAGCTCAGGAAGCGTCTGTGGCGTGCTGCTATCTGAATATGACAGTATGCATCTTTCAGATCTATGGATGCAATCCAGTCCCTGGGATGGATTTGTGCCAGGATCTGCTTCAGAGTAATCATCGTGAACGTGAGCTTGTGAAGTGCTCTGTTGATGGGTCTCGGGTCCAGGATCGGATTGAGTCCTCCATCTCTCTTGGGTACCACAAATTAGCGACTGTAAAACCTGCTCTCCAGCTCACTCGGAGGGACATGCTCTATCATTCCTTTTGTGAGCAGACTGTGAGCTTCCGGTCTTAAAACAGGGGCATTTTGAGGCAGTGTCAGTGACTGAACCACGCCGTTGATACGGTGTGGTCTGAGTATGAACTGGAGAGAATACCCATGCTCTATTATGTCCAGCACCCAGCACAAAACGCCTGGAATAGCTCTCCATGCATCTAGGAACTGACATAGCGGCCGAATCTCTCCGGTTGCTATCACTATTTTTTTCAGCGAAAAAAAGACTGGCACCTTGCCCCAGCGGAGGGCCTCCAGTGAGCTCTCTCCTCCTCTTTGCCAGTCCATCAGGACGAAGGCTTAGCAGTGGGGGGTGGTCCGCTGTCACGGCAGGGGCTCCTCCTCTGTCCGTGGCACCTTTTCCTGGATCCCGTCCACTGCTTGTGGTGAACATCCCGCTCATGTCGAGGAGCGGCGGAGGACGTGGCAGGCTGCTTAGCCGATCTCTGAGTGGAGCGGGCAGCCGAAGAGAAGTGTGATCTTGAAGGCTGATGGAATGCGCGCCGGGGCATCAGGTGACTCATCACCTTTGTGCGCTCAACGCAAGGTTTTATCATGATAGATACCGATTAAACTGCGGTGACACACAACATGCCTTTATGTTCAAATTAAATAAAACCACTTCTCATAAAGAACAAGAACATGGTCTTTTTAAAAATAAAATACCAATGGTTATATAGGCTAATTATGCATTCTTTATAGCAACTTGTTTACCATATTCTTCATTCTTTCAAGCAGACATATTTATTTCTATAAATAAATTTAGATTAATCTTTAGGGCTACTAAAGTTTTTCAGTCAAGAGCAGTGCGTGATTTTGTCTTTCTTTTGTTGCTTGATTAACATCAATGACAGCAACTAAATTAGAATTAAATTACTAAAATTACTAAATTTAAATTCCCTTTAAAACCGAATGCACAGCTGCAATGGATGCAATGTACTGATACACGTTCTCAAAACACAATTCAACATCATTTTGTGTGTAATTCTCCGTTCATGCGACGCGAGTTGAGCTCTCTCTTGTGTCGTCAGATTTATATATTATATGTCTGCTCTTCTCTTATTCCCACATATTGACATTTTTGGACGTTTTATGCGACGTGCAGCAAGTGTACGTTAGCTTATGTCCCGCCGGTTCATATCATATGTACGCATCTAACCTCTGAACCACGTAGCAGATTTGTTCTGAATGAATCTCTTCCCAAATCGTCCCTCCCTAACATTTTCGTCTTGTTTGTATTCGTTGACGAAAATGTCAATAGATTTACATCATAGTCGGTGAAAAAAATGTTGTTGACTAAAATTATGACGAAAATTATTCGTCAACGAAATTAACACTGGTGCAGACCACGAATTCACCACCTGGACAGCCGGGAAGAAGGGAACCCTCCTCAAGTCAAGTCGCCTCTATTTATATAGCGCTTTATACTATACAGCTTGTGTCAAAGCAGCTTTACAGTCTTAAACGGGAAAAACGTGCTGATAATGCAAAAGACAATAGAAAACAGTTTTTCCATTTTTCCTCCTCTACGCATCCAGGTGGCAGCTCAATTGGAAGTACCAGGAGTCGAGCTTATTCCTTGTAGGCTCTTCTGGAGCATCGCAGTTAAGTCGAGGACCCTGGTAAACTCCTCCTGGAGGTCTGGGGGCACTCAGTGTTGAGGCAATCCTGCTCTGACTCCGCCCAGTCCTTTTCTGACACTGAGATAGACATGGAGTCTTCGTCTTCCCCAGGGCCAAACGAAATTACGTCCGCAACGGCAGGGGGGGGCAAAGGCTCTCGTCTGCAAAAAAGACAGGGGAAAGGGGCGACGGGAGAGGACGATTGCCCCTGACCGAGTCGTCACTGTCACCCCAAGGGAGGGGAAGGCACGTAAGACCATGAGCGATTCCCCTTCGGGTCCTCAAAACAGTCTGGCAAGTTAGCGCAGGGCACAGTCGGACTCAGAGAAGGCCGCCTCAGCGTGGGCCAGGCCCAGGCAGGCTATGCAGTGGTTGTGTCCAGCGGGTCGATGGGGCCTGTGCAAATCCTGCAGAAGGTAGCCATCTTCTGTTGCGTCTTCAATGATGGCAGCGAGAAGAAGATTCTGAAGAAACTGTCACTCTGCGCATTTTATACTGCCCGCAGACTTGCCAGTATTTGTATACGATTAACATAGATTAAAGACAGTTGAACTGGCATTATCCTATAAGGTTTCAGGATTTTGGAGAAGGGGAGGAGTTCCCACAGCGAAAGCTTCGCAATGTGAGTGAACGCTTGAAATAGAACTGTTGATGCTACATAAAAATAGAGATGGTCCTCACTGCAGAACACAAGTCCAGGAGGCGTTGTTGGATGCAGATCCAACTCCTCCCACCTGACATATACCTAAACCTACCCGTTTCCACCCCCTAATCCCTAAACTCACCCATCTCCACCCCTAAACCTACCAATCTCCACCCGTAGATGTGGATCCAACCACACCCCCTGGATCTTTTGTTCCGCAGTGAGGGGCTACTGTAAAAATATGCTAGGTTCAATTTGCCATGATAAGTTTTGTTCCCCTCGAGCTTCTTTTATAAGACTCCTTAAGAACTTCAGCCAACGATATTTTCATAATATCAAATAGTGACTGGACAAATATCCTAAAACCAAAGTGAATCAAACAGAATCAAGACTTTGGATAGTTAAAGTAAGAGGAGGTTTGTACCTACCCACCGGCAGCTGGGCATATTTTGTTTGGTATGGGCGAAACTCTGCCTGCGATATTAATAAATAATTCTACATAGTATCAGTGGTTACGAATCCTGACGGCATCATTAAAATCACACAAACATGGCAAAGCACCAGTTTGTTTACATAATTAAAGCTACCTGAAAAATAAAACAAGATGATACTGGTGAAAAAGGAAACTGTTATTAACATTAATAGAAACAACATAAACCACAATGCTTGTAGCAACCACTTTATCTTTTTATTTCAAATTAAACATACACTCATTACATATATTATGGCCACACATATTTTAATTAATGTAATGAAACAGTAAAAAAAGTAAATAAAAGTAATAGTTTTCAATATTCATTCTATATATACACAGAAACCTTTACCATCTCTGCTCTGTGTAAAAGTTGTTTCTTAGCGACTGGTCTCCAACCCGTTTCCTCACCAGAAAAAAAAAAGAAAATAATAATAATCATAAAAATAAACTAAACAAAACCAGCTTTCACCATCACTATATAAAACACCAGTCAATGATCAGCAGCCAACATTAACTTGTCTTGGTTGCTTTCATTTTAGAATTGTTTTGCACCCATTCTCATTCAGTTCTGTGCTGAAGCCAACTTGAATAAATCTTTATTTCAACTCTCAACTGCAGTTTTGGGGTTTTCTTTGAGTGGTGAAGGATTCTGGAGCATCAGAATGGCATCTGTGCAGAATTTTTTAGATTGTGCACATGCTGCTCTATGTCGGAGCGAATCTCTTAGCTTGTGCCCTCACACGCTTTTCATAGTCCATCCTGTTTTGACTGCGAGAGAATGAGTGAGAGAGATAAGATCAATAGCCGCGTTTCCACTGTCGGGCCAAAAGCAGGCGTGCTAGTGCGTGCCAGGGCCAGTCGTGTTTCCACTGTCACTTCCAGGGCTTGATCGTGCCTCGTCGGGGCTTCCTCTGGGCCAACGGCCAGGGATTTTCGGCCCGCCGAATACCTTGGGCCAAAGCGGGCCAGCTGGGACTAGAGGAGTGGTCATGAACAAAGGCGGAGTTTATCCGAGTTAGAGACGGTCGGCACCGCTGTTAATTTCCCATGTTTTCATATGAAGATACCAGCTAGCATCAACATTTAAGACATTTAAAACAATTTTAATGGCAAAACTCACTTTCAGACAACAGCGAGAGTCTGGATTAACTTATGATAACTTACTGAATTAACTTACGATTACCAGATGGGAATTCTGATCACCGTATGAGGCAGAAATGTATTATAGGCCTACGCGATGCAAAAGGCTGCATATGCTTACAATCGCTATAAGAAGAACACATTATGATTATGAACATTATGATTATGAAAATACCAGAAACCGCTTGAAGAACTTAGACAGATTCATTGAGTTTCATCTGCTCGCTCTGAGGCACGAAGTGATTTATTATATATGAAAATTATTATATTCAGTGGTTTCTCCTACTTTTCTTAGTGATATTTAGTGCCAGTTTATCAGGAAGTGACGATTTTGTTCTCTTTGACTCGTTGGGATGGAAACAAGGTGTGTTAAGGGCGGATTTTACAGTAGCGCTGTTCCGACAGTGGAAACGCGGCTTGATTTTGGGCTCGTGGCTTGAGGTGCGAGGCCATTGGCCCAGCACGGTTCGTTGTTAGCCCTGGCACGCACTGGCCCGACAGTGGAAAAGAGGCTAATGTTGTGGGCATGGTATCAGCTGAAATAATAAAATCATATATAAAAGCGTGTAGGTGGAATTTGGCTGCCCTTACCAGTATATCGTATAGGCCTCCGCCTGCGCTGGGTCCTGAATGTTGGGCTCATTAAGGAGCTCCTGGATGCCCAACAAAATCTACAGCCACAACAACATAATCACATAAAAAACCCTACTGCTTATTGGGCCAAAATGTTTGTTCAAATGCCTAACCTTATGAGTTATACTGTGATCTTAACATATTCCTATCATAATGATGAAACTGTACACATTCAGAGGTTTGCAGTCAGTAAGTTGTTTTTATGAAATTAGTACTTTTATTCAGCAAGGATGCATTGAAATGATCAAAAGTGAAAGACATTTATAATGTCACAAAAAAATTCTGCTTAAAATAAATGCTGTTCTTTTGAACTAAGATTTTCAAATAATTCTGAAAAATATACATCACGATTTACACAAAAAAAATATTAGGCAGCACAACTGTTTTTTAACATTGGTAATAAGAAATGTTCCTAGAGCAGCAAATCAGCATATTAGCATGATTTCTGAAGGATCATGTGACACTGAAGACTGAAGTTATGATGCTGAAAATTCAGCTTTGCCATCACAGAAATAATTTACATTTTAATATATACCCAAATTGTAAACAGTTATTTTAAATTGTAATAATATATTACAATATTACTGTTTTTACATTATTTTTGACCAAATAAATGCAGCCTTGGTGAACATTATTGTATGTCTTTGTTTGTGTGTTTTTGCATACTTGTTTGATGGTGATGGCTGGTCTCCAATCCTTCTCTTCCTCCAGTATGGACAGACACACTGTACCTGAAGGATAGACATTTGGATGGAAGATTGGGGGCTCAAACTTGCCTGAGAAGAAAATGAACAAGTCAGGTTTATTTTCACAAAACATATTGTTTCAAATCAGCTTAACAACAAGTATTTCTCAGCGTTTTGTTGTCTATAGGCACTAGCGAAGAACTATACAGGAAATATATGTGGAAGTGTAGTGACAATGACAATAATAAGCACTATATAGGGTTTAACATTTCTTGTAGAAGAGAAAACTCACATTTGGGTGGTGAAGATGGGTAATCATCCTTAAAGAGCATTCTCAGTTTGTACAAGCCTCCCTCCCAAAGAGTCTACAGGACACAGAAGGATACAAAAAACACAGATGTAGATTTTAAAATCTGTCATTTAATATTATTCGTTTAACAGTTTAAATATGATATGACATGCATCTACGAACTAATCCAAGAGACCATGGATTCCCTTTTGTCCACAGGCATGTTACATTGAGAAGTCTCAACTGTTTGGAGGTTTGATCATAATCACACCTTCTCATTGGTGTTTAAATATGACTGATATTGACAGAATGATAAAATTTAGCACGCTTAAGGAAATATGATGTTTTGTAATTATTTAAATCTGATGAATTTTAAAATTGTTTGTCATAAACATCTCAGAAAAATGTTATGGGTTTTCAAATCAGAATATGACTTTTTGTTACGAAACAGGGCATAATTTTCATACGAGTCTTCTGTAGAGGACACCAGGACAAACATCATGTTAATCAGGCATTTTGGGGAGACACAACAAGTCAATAGGGAAAGAAATTATAGATCAATATTCCTATGAAATATGAAAAAGTCTTATGAAAAATCTTACCATGTTATTACTCCCATTATGACACTTCTTTTTCATTATGGTTTTCCCCAAGAACACATCAATATGCAAATTAGATGTAATGTATAGATACATTGTATAGAATGGGAAAACCAATTTATGGAAATTTTATGCACATATTCCATAAAGTACAGTAGTATATCAAATCATTGACATCACTGAATTCAATGATGAACTGCCTTTAACTGAAAAATTAGTGTTTACTATTGTCACTTTGCATTATTGACACACTATTTCCCTTATTAATGCTGTACAGTTGCTTTGACACAATCTGTATTGTTAAAAGCGCTATATAAATAAAGGTGACTTGACTTGTACAAAGTTTGGCTAAAAATAGCCTGAAACCTAAAAACTGGTGAATGGTTGATTGGTGAATGAAAAAATTAAACTTTGTTTTTGCCTATACATGCCTTTTAATGTCTATTTATCTTTTTGAATAACTTAGTCCTGGTGTCCTCTACAAAGGACATAGAATAAAATATATTTTTTTCAAAAAATGTTTTTTTTCTCCATTTGTTTCTTATGCTCCAAACAATGTCATGACATAAAAACAACAAAAGTTCGCAAAACTTTTTTTCTGCAGGCAAAAAAAAAAAAAAAAAGCCAAGTATGCTTACACAGAAGAAGAAAAAAACACAGATAATAAAATAAAATATGTGAAGCGATTACATGTATATAAAAGTATGAGAGCATGCAAGTATAAATGTTAAAAACAAATAAGCATAAAAAATACCCTAAACAAACATACAGATTGAGACATTGCTTAGAACTCTATGTACCTTATTCTAAAACATAATTTAGAGAAAGGTGTAAGATTGTTAAGAAGGATACTAACCCCCTTTTTTCCTGGTATTGCACATTCCCAGTTCATGAGATTCATGGTGCCATCTGGGTTTTTGGTTGGTACAGCCACAAAACCCTACAAAGAAACAACCAAAAGTACAACAGCGCAAAATATAGACTGATTACAGACTGACTGAATAGTTTGCAAGTCTACACTCAAACATTTGATCGTGTGTGTCCCTTACAAAAGGATGATCTTTCCTCCAGGCTTTGCGCTCCTGTGACAGTCTACTCAAAGCGATTCCAGACATGACTCAACAGCGCCACCTGCGGACAGAAAAAAACACATATACACCATCAACCGTGCATTCGTAAAGGCACAAATAAACATTACAACAGGGCTTATATGAATATAATGTTTTTAGATACAACACATAAAGATTAAGGTGAACGACTTTCAATGTTTTCAGCGCTAATTTGCAACACGCATTTCATGTCATCATTAGCATTTTATGTAACTCGCTGTCGATTACAGTCGCTGGCTTACCTTTAATAAATGTTTAAAAATGCCTTTTCAGCCAACCCAAAACTGTTTTAGTGAAAAACGAACTCTAAAATAAACACTGGAAACGTTAAAAAGAGCCAAGCGTGTGAGGAAAATACCTCGCGACCCAACCTAGCGTTTGATATTCAACAGTTTGATTTTGAAATCTTCTACTCGGAATCGAAGTGAATTTGCCCAACTGATCGTATAATAGGTTTAAAATCACATTCAGATTTGGTCTAAAACGTCGGGTAAATAAACAATAAACGTTCATCCATGAAGGCAGTGGAATGGAGTAGCGTTGTTTGTTATTATTCGCAGGACCATCAGGCAATATCAGAGTCAACTATAAACGTCCATCAGAAGCGGCCATTTTAAGTGTGGCACGTGTGTTAGACAAACGGGAATCTGAAATCTGAATCCATTTAGGAGATCATATAGGCAAGCTGAATTTCCATCATCATTACTCCAGTATAAAGTGTCACATGATCCTTCAGAAATCATTCTAATATGCTGATTTATTATTAGAATTATCAATGTTGCCAACAGTTCTGCTGCCAAATATTTTTTTGGAAACTGCGATACATTTTTTCAAGATTTTTTGATGAATAAAAAGTTAAAAAGAACAGCATTTATTCAAAATATAAATCTTTTCTAACAATATAAATCTTTGCTATCACTTCTTAACAATGTAACACATCCTTGTTGAATAAAAGTTTTAATTTCTTTAAAAAAAAGAAAGAATAAAAATGTACTGACCCCAAACTTTTGAACGGTAGTGTATATTGTTAGAAAAGATTTCTATTTTAAATAAATGCTCTTCTTTTTAACTTTTTATTCATCAAAGAATCCTGAAAAAAAGTATCACCGGTTCCAAAAAAATATTAAGCAGCACAACAGTTTCCAGCGCTGATAATAAATCAGCATATCAGACTGATTTCTGAAGTATCATGTGACACTGAAGACTGGAGTAATGATGATGAAAATTCAGCTTTGCATCACAGCAATAAATATATATATATGTGTGTGTGTGTGTGTAAGTTCATAATTTAACAGTGAGAGCAATATGAAAATGCATTTTTTTAAGTATTTATAACGTTTTAAACACTGGCACACAAGACAGGAGCTGTTTGTGTTTACAGTATATTGTATTTATTAGATAAACTCTGAAATATAAAGAAAACAGGAACAACGGAGTTAAAGTCAGTAATTTTAGTTAATTTAGTTAATTTTTAAAACTTATAATAGTAAAGATCACATTTCTATTGCCTAAAAATTAAATGTAGCATTAATGATTATTAATATTTCCTTCATAAAGGTAAATTTACATTAAAATCCTAAATAATTCATTTATACTGACATAAAGATATCATTTTAACATCATATATAATTACATTCTAGAAACTTATTCTGAAATATTGTTTTCTTCTGTATTCTTACATCTGATTTATGAATTGCTAAAGCATAATTGTCTGCTTATGCCTTCTTTTAACTCTCTTCCTAGATATATATACCCAGATTTCAACCAGAAAAGGGGCTTTAATGCATATGCGATAGTAGTAGAATAGTGCAGTACTTAATAGTCTTTATGCAATAGTCTTATGCAATCATTTCTGATACAAATGAGGCCTCAATTAAAACTCTAGTGATTGTGTTAGTCTTGATTCCAGTGAAATGGTGTAGTATGGGTCTAAGAAACCATTCAGCGTGGCTGTTTTCCTTTTCCCTCAGAGATCACATGTTCTGGTGCAGCTCTGGTGAACCACTCGGCCCATGCCCCGTCGTACAGACAGACCCCCAGGTGGCCGCACAGGTGAGCAGCGAGGGCGATGTGACAAGCTGTCACACCTGAGCCACAGGTGACCCAGAATGGCTTCTGCATGTCAACTCCAGCCTGCTGGAAGAGCTTCTTGAGTTCCTCCACGGGACGTTCTAGACCTGATGTCGAGTCCAGGAAGCTGGGAAAAGGCATGTTGATCGATCCAGGAATATGACCAGGCTCGGTGTCTGAGATAAAGAGAAATAAGCCAGTGGCACTTTTGCATTTTTGATAAATAACATTTGTCTTACATTGGTACATAAAATCTTTGGTTGTTGTACCTTGCGTTATATATTCTATAAAAGTACCTCACAAATAACTTAGAAGTCCGTATGAATGTGGTCACAAAATGCAAGTATAGGCCTACTAATTATACAAAAGTATGTATGAAGCATGGCACTGTGTGACACTGCTGTCACAGCTTGTCATATTAACTACCATCTACTGTATTACTGCAGAGAATTAAAAGTAGGGCTGGGCAAAAAAAAAATTGACTTGACTTCCATAGTATGGAGAAAAATATATGGAAGTCAATGGGGACCAAAACAGTTTGGTTATCCATATTCTTCAAAATATCTTCTTTTGTGTTCAACAGAAGAAAAGAAATTCATACATGCATAAATGATGACAGAATTTTTATTTTTGGGTGAACTATCACCCAAAAGCCAGTATTAATTTTCCTACACCGTTCATAGGCTTGGAGCCTCCATGTTACAGCTAATGCTGTGAGATTTTATGTTTGTTTTATCTTAAACATAAAATAACCTGATCCTGTTTGATCAAGGCATGCGACTGTTCTGACTTGTCCAATTTTCAGCATCAGTTTTTCATCTTGCATCAAAATTCTGTCTATTCATTGTATGCATTTGAAATATATAGTGGGGTTTTGTTTTATTGTACCCAAAGTGTACCTAAAATAAAAAGTGTTTAATATACAGGTTTGTGGCTCGTAATTTCCTATTAATTAACCATTTGTAATCTTATGTTCACTGTTCATTTTTTATAAATATAGGATTTGTATTAAATCTATATTCATTCATATAGTCAAATCGAATCGAGAATTGAAATCAAAGATCGAATCAAATATCGAACCGAAAATCAAAATCGAATCGAATTGAGAGCTTGAAAATCGAAATCGAATCGAATTGGAACATCTGAATCGATACCCAGCCCTAATTAAAAGGCTATCAATAGTTGAAAATGACTGAATACATACATTTCTGCAAAGTCCTCACAAAGCGAAAAAGGGGAAACATGCATGAATTCCCAGACCTAAGACATTTGCCTTATCTGTCTTGGTTATTATAGTTAACTAAAATTAAAACCATAAAATAAAATAAAAAAACATTTTCATTACTTTAAATAAAATAAATGTTAACTGAAATAAAAGAAAATATTTTAAAAATATATATATTTCAGCAACATTTCTCATTTCTGTTTAGTTTAACTTGAAATACTAAAATAAGTAAAACTAATAAGTAAACTAAAACTAATAAATAGAAATGTTACAGACATAAAAATTAGTTATTAATTTGTAATTTTGTATGTGTTGCTTAAACTGTATGGTCTGTACTTATACTGTATTACTGCAGTGAATTAAAAGGCTATCTGGTATTGTATGGACAAAATTTGTGCAAAGTGCTAAGTCTTTGCAAAAGAGTAAAAGGGGTAACATGCATGGATACATTTCCTGACCTAAGACATCGTAACTAGTCAATGCTACCCTGTTTATTTTCATTACTTTAAATAAAATAAATGTTAACTGAAATAAAAGAAAATATTTTAAAAATATATATATTTCAGCAACATTTCTCATTTCTGTTTAGTTTAACTTGAAATACTAAAATAAGTAAAACTAATAAGTAAACTAAAACTAATAAATAGAAATGTTACAGACATAAAAATTAGTTATTAATTTGTAATTTTGTATGTGTTGCTTAAACTGTATGGTCTGTACTTATACTGTATTACTGCAGTGAATTAAAAGGCTATCTGGTATTGTATGGACAACATTTGTGCAAAGTGCTAAGTCTTTGCAAAAGAGTAAAAGGGGTAACATGCATGGATACATTTCCTGACCTAAGACATCATAACTAGTCAATGCTACCCTGTTTTACAGAGAAATTGTGTAACAGGTATGACGGCTAACAATCCATACTCACTTTCCCTTGGCTCTGGTTCAACCCCACGAAATCTTCCATTGGCTCTGGCGTCGACTACTTGAAATTAATTGGTTTTAATATTGCTCAAAATGTCTTCATAAGTTTTGACCCAGGACTTGTTGAAGACGCCCTGAACTCGGCGCAAGCTGGTTTACTATATTGCTCGGTACCCGGATGACCCTCCATTAACCAGTTCTTGAACCCGCCGTCCAGAACCGACACCGAAGTGTGCCCGAACACCCTAAACATCCACCACATCAGTGGAGCAGAGAACGAGCCGAAGCAGTGCTGCCAACTAATTTTCAGGGGAAGTTGCTAAAGGAAGATTGATTTGTTGCTAAAAGTTGCTAAATGACGCGATGTCATTGCGCGGTGACGTCATTGCGTAATCACGATGCAAAATTGTGTCACTGCATCAAATCTCAGCAAAAAAAACAAATGTAAATATGTTAATTTAGATGTGTTTATAAAATAATATAAATGCATAATATAATATTAAAATATAAATAGCTAATTTTAAATACAACATTGAATTATTAAACACTCACATTTTTTAACAATTACAATTTAAGTTTATTTTTATTAGCTAGTAAATTAGTAAAACTACTATTTCGGAACATTTATGATTTAAAGAATTTATTAGTAGTTTGTTAGCCTCAATCTAAAGAAAGTCTGTAAAAATAGGGCAAAATCTATTAATATGAAGGCTAAATGTTGCCAAATACATTTTAAAAAATAGCTACATTTGTTGCTAGGTGTTTTGGAAGAAAAGGTTGCTAGGGTAGTCTGAAAAGTTGCTAAATCTAGCAACAAAATTGCTAAATTGGCAACACTGAGCCGAAGTCGCTGGCATCGTAAAGGACGACATGAGTGTTGTTCCCTATTCACAGATTATACATGTAGTGTGCGAACTCGCCCTCGCTAGGCAGCATGTGATCAAACTTGGAGCTTTTGTCACAACACTCGTCGATGTCGAAAAACGAGGCTCCGGGAATGTGAGTTTTTTCAAACTCGGCCCTGGGATTGCGTTTCATTTTAGGTAGATACCAAGATGCATCTAATATCCGCAGATTTGGGCCCACTCGGTTGCTTTTGACAGCGTCCGCGAGCCATCGCGCCGCTACAAGACCTCGAGCTTGAGCAGCCATGTCTCTCTCTCGCTCCCCTTCAGTAACGTTAGTCGATGTTGCAAATAGCGAGCAATGAATCAGAGCTCACATATTACGTCGGTGTGATATTTTGTGGGCCGGAAAAGGGAAAATATCAATAATTTGTTCCTTGCTTATTTAAAATCAGATATACAGTTACTTTTGACCGTATTTAAGGTACGACATATGCGCTATATAGAACCGCGAGGGGGTATAGCTCAGTGGTAGAGCATTTGACTGCAGATCAAGAGGTCCCCGGTTCAAATCCGGGTGCCCCC